AATTCCGATTCGACAGCTGAAACCTACAGTCGGTGACGCATTCGACCCCGTCGGTCGATTTTAAGTTGTTGCCGCACTTGACACAGGCGTTGGGACCGGGCGTTGCCGTCGAGTTCAGGTACGTCTGAGGCGGACAGTGAACGCAGGTTCGATTTTCAACCACAATGTAACTTCCCGGAGGACATGGGACACATCTAATAAAGTTTGTCTCACAGACAAGAACTGGAAATCAATACAGTGGATAAAAACTCGATTACTGATGAGAAAGCGCATGACAGAATGTTATAAAAGGGACCATGGATATGAATGAATTTTTTGTTACCCGGCACAGCAGATGTACACTGTTGAAATGAATTTTTATGAAACCATCTCGACCTGCTACAGAGTTCGATGTTGTCACATATGCTGATTAACCTATGTGATTCAATATTAAGGACACTTGAATATGCAAGGTGCTGATTTCGATCATTAACGAAGATTCAACTTTGTGCAGTTTTCAAAAAGGGGTGGATTAAACAGTATTGCGAATTCAGACGAGTGGATTAATCATCAGCTACGAGAAATGCGTCGAAATGCGTAATTTGCACTAAGAAATACAAGCTTCAAAAAGATACTTCCATCGATAAACGCTGTAAACATGATTAACAGCGCACCAGATCGATGTGTTCACTAACTTTGGATTGTCATCAACGATAGTACAGAGCAAAATTGATCTTACTGTGTCAGATAAGGGTGTACTAAAATTCGAAGGACATTATCCAATTAGTTTAAGCTGCAGTCCATAAAAAACATTCTCTTGTGCTCGTCACATATAGCAGACAACGATCAAAGTAAGGGATTCTTCAACAGGTTGAAGTCCTCTACGGCTTGTTCGCGTTTCTACTGCCGTGAAGTACAACGGTAGACAATAATTTAAGATCTTGAGTGATGAAGGAGCCCTCCTACGTAGAAGTCATTGACGGCCTCTGATTCACAAACAGGAATCTGCTGATATTGGAGCAGCGCGATTGTTATACCAGGTTCTACGTGTCCTGCGCTCTAAAGAGACTGAGTACAAAATGACAATCAACCAGCAGGCATGTAAATCAAAACTAGTGCAAAACGGTTTCAGCCCCCGCATCATAAAAGTGGTAGTTGCCGAATACGCTTACATGATGATAGTGAACATATAACCGTAAGTTGTCAGTTGCTTCGCTGAAAGAAGCAGCAGTTCACCCTTTACCTAATTTACAAATGACTTTTGACAAACTCAAATTACGTCGGTGCTGCCACACTGCAGAAGCTAAATAATTCGAAATTTCGGCATCAATCGAATTCAGCTTTAAATTCAAAGCCGAATAAAAAATTTTGTAAAAAATACCAGGACAGATATAAAACCTGAACAACTCGATAACTAAAAATTAGTCCCGTCTCATAATATCAACAAATCAGTTATGAGCAATTTATGAAAAAATAGTATACATAAAACTAACTATACGAGTAAGCGCGAAACACTCAGAAGGATGAAACCACTAAGCAAGGATCAGGTACATGCGTTCTGTCTTAAACGGCTAACATGTTTGTACGCAAAAACGTCAATATTCTTTAACCACTTTTCTGGTTAATGGAAAAAGTGAATCCCTAATCTTGAAGTTAACAGAGGTTATGCCCATGTGAATCACTACTGACTGATCGCTGCCTTCCAACGATTGGGAATCTCAAGGCGTCTCTACTAGCCAGTAAAGCTTATGAGCATCGCGAGGCGAAAAACATTTCTTGAACAAGAAGCAGTTGGACGAAATCAAGGAGACCTAAGGACAAGTTAGACGTCAGTAAGGTGCTATATCATGATTGCGAAGTGAGAAAAACCAATATTGACATTGCCTAGTTTGAATGATTGATTGACCAGTAAGGCATTTGATTTAGTACAAAATAGCTGGATGTTGGACCGCCTGAAACTTATAACTTCAACTACGGCCTAAAAAAATTCTTCGAAGCAGTGATGAACTAGTGGTGAACAATACCGCTATACAAAAAATCGCCTTGTGATTGGTGAAGATTAAGCGAGGAAAGTTATATGAAGATTCAATCTCACTGATTCTATTTCGTCTGGCGTTAAATTCGATGAGTTACAGGTGCACGAATAACACTAGGAAAGGAAATAAGTTAAAAGATGGCGGCGTAATGCCATCAGATGAATGGCCTGAAATTATACGCTGGATAATCTAAGGAAAAGCGCACGAAATTTTTCACAAGATTACAGAATGGAATTCTGTTTGGATAATTGTACTATCATCGAGATTAGGAAGGAAAAGTTCCGGCAAAATAAGAGCGTGGCGCTACCGACTGGAAAAATAAACAGCTTGGGAAGTAGGACAGTCGAGCAAATGTCAAAATTTGACAATATGTTACATGAAAAAAAGAAATTAACGATAAATACAGAATAAGAGAACAAAATTGACAAACCTGAGAAAGTTGGCGGGAATAAAAGAAGTCAAACCATTAAACAGTTAGTGGTACCAGTACCTATTTATACAAGAGGCATCGTCAAATGGACTCAAACAGAAAGGCTAGAATTGGATAAAAAAACAAAAATGATCTTGAATATGCACGGGATGGTACTTCCAAAAGCAGATATGAACAGACTGGACGTCTGTGCATAGAGAAGGAGGAACAGAAATTCGTAGTATAAATGATAGGTGGAATTAGAGAGTTATCTGTAAGCAGTATCTGGCAACGGAAGTGAATCATATTTTACTAACAGCTGCAAAGGTATCATATTCTTACTCAGAGAGAAAGAGCAACAGTTAGCTGATGAGATAATAAAGTACCCACTCGACAGAGTTGAACTCTCGTCAACGAAACGCCAAGGCTTTGGAATCCTGAACCACTGCGGATGAAAGCAATTCTACCCCTGTGTCGACACAACGAGGAGCGTTCAGATCGGTGGACGTGTTCTGATATACCCAACATGGCTGAAAAAATCACTGAATGGAAGCCTGTCAGCGAAAGGGTTGCAATCTTCCTACTGAGGACATTGTTACAGGCCTATGAGCACAATTTAGAGGGGGAATATGATTCCTTCCTTGAGGAAGTGCAGTGTGCTCTATCGGAAGTGCCGAATACAGAGTCCCTCATACTCATGGGCGATTTTAATGCGCATGTCTGAATAGATGCTGAAAAGTGGAACGGCGTGATTGGGAAAAACGGCCCTAGCGACCTCAACAATAAAGGCATGAAGCTGTTGCGGTTTTTTCGGACTGCTTATTAGGAACGCCATCTTCGAGCATTGAAAAGAGCATCAGCGTACCAAGTAGACGGAAGCTTGTGCACAGAAATCAATGATAAGTTTGATAATCGTATGACTTATGAAGCTATATAAACAGACGTTTGCGATGCTAAGAGAGGCGAAAAAGTGTCAAGCGATAATCTCCTTGTTGTTAGTATCTTCCACAGTAAATAATGGAGTAGTGTGCTAAAAGCAGGCACAAAAGCAACCAGAAAATGGGAAACATAATCTTCGGGAAACAACATTGCACGACGGTTTGCATAGAGCCTGGTGATGACCGCTGATGTATAAACCAAATGGAAGCTCTTTAAGAGCGACTAACTCGGGACTGCTGATGAATGCTGTGGTTGTCAGGAAGAAGCAGTTTGCATTCCAGAGGCGACTTGAAAGCTGAAAGAGTTGACTTCAACTCAAATGTAGTACGAGAAATCGCGAAAGTAGCAGTGGTAAAAGCCAAAGCTAATTCTTGACATGAGATGTTAGAGTCGAATTTCCACATGGCAAATAGTATCGTGGCAGACCTTCCGCTGACTCCAAGATGGAAAGGTGGGCAGTGAGAATGATGAGAAACAAGCTGACGCACTTTTGCCAAAGATGAGGACATGCTTTAATAAGAGAAAAGAGAAAGTACTTTGAGGAACAATTTATGTCAGAGAAACCGCAAAAAAAACTCGCTTAAGAGCAGCAGGCAACGGACATTAGTTTTGCTGGACTTACCGTAGACAAACTAACGGAAGCAATAAAAGGTTGAAAACTGGCAAGGTTGCTGGAATCGATGGAACCCGTCCTCAAAAATGCATAAATCTTTAGGCGAAGAACGCATGTTGTAATTGACACTGGCCTGTGAAGCTGCAATGGTTACGGGGACAAGATCACTGGACTGAAGAAAGGGAGTTGCAGTACTCCTGTTAAGTAAAGCCGTAGGGAGCGCTCCAAGGCGGCATTGCCTCATTCAGCGTACTTGAAAATATCCACGCAAAAATGTTGGAAACGAGGTGAAGCGGAACAGTTGGGACTAAGATCCAAGAAAACCAGTATGACTTCAGGTCAGAGCCAAGCATCAATGACCGAATCTTCGTCTAACTCCAGGCTGTTGTGAAACTGTGAGTTCGCACATCCGGTGGACATGTTCAAGTACATCAGGGTCGTATTAACTGGTGATGGAAAATCAGAGAAAGAGATCGACAGGCGAAATGGAATGGCCAACGGCGTTCTGATTAAACTAGACTGAATGGCTGACCTGAGTAGAAGAACTAAACCTTCTGTGTTCAAGTCGATATTAATAACTATGCTTATCATATATCATGCTTATCATATCTTATCGTGGTCATGAGTAATCGGTAATGACTGAAAAACTTCGTTCATAGGTATAAGCAGCTAAAAAAAGGGGCTTTCTTAGACGAATCACTGAGCTGACGTGTATCTACATGGTTCGTACCGCAGATGTCACAGAATAACGATGAGCAATGCCAATGTGCCGATGGTTCCCCGAATCAAGATGTCATGGATGAAATGGGTTGAGCACGTTTTGTGAATGATACCAGGTTAGAACTCGAATTAGCTTCTCCTGGCCCAGCCGATAGGCGGATAACCACGAGGACGGCCAATGATAATCTAGCCAAATATCTCGACAGATTCTGCTCCAGACGCCGGCTGTCTTCTACCAAAACCCAAACACTGACACGGGATCGGGAACGTTAAAGCAATGCTTGAGATGTCTGAATTCGTGATCGTAAAAGATAAACGGTCATTGAA